CATTCATTTTTGAAATAAATTCAATTTAAATTTTCTCATAACATAACCTGATCTACGCTAAAGTAACCTAACTCAGTCTGACCCAAAAAATATGTTGTTGCTTCATTGAAAACTCCGCTGAACTAACTGAACAAAATCTTTCAACAATCTTTTGTTTGGTTAACAAAATTTTTAACTTAACTTATGCAGCTCTGTTAAGACAGGGCTCTAATTGAAAGGTTAATTACGTTATTGTGACACAATGATAGCTCAGCACTGAACACTGATTACAGTATACCTACATATATGCATGTATTGCTAGTATTCATACCATTTAGGTGTATATTCGCATACATACATACACACGTGTGATAGCTACTTGTGCAAGTAAACACAAAGCACAGGTGTTGGCTAGTAATCAACGGTATATGCCTGGATGCATGCAAGCATGAACTCGGGTTTGATCAAGACCGTAATTAATTTTCGCAAGAGAATCTATTTTCTGTTTCCGCTTTTCTTTAACGCGAAAGCGTTGTCGGTTAATGAGCTATTGAATTCTTCGGGTTTTTATCTACGGTTTACGTATTACACGCTAACGCCCTTATAAAGGATTTTATCCTGTGTGGTGTAGTTTCCTAATGATAATTTTCTTACTGTATTAAAGGTAATTGCTGCGGCTTTGGACAGTTCTTCGAATAAAGGAAAAATCTAGTGTTATTGTGTTAAGCCAAGCCTTTCAAGATATATCTATAAACGGGAAGAGAAAATTAGTAGAAAATCGTTTTTATTTCTAAGTATATTAAAAAAAGAATTTTTAATGTAGAATTTCTTATGCTCATTATTAAAATCAATTTTGGTGGAGGCTCTGGACATAGTGAAAATATAGTAAAATTTACTAGTGTTTTAAACTAGTACTACTTTCAATCCTATTGTCAAATCATATCGACCCAAAGATTTCGTACTTTCATCTATTAAAACATCAATAATAAAAAAATAGTAGATGTACATTTGTATTATTAAACATTAGATAATGATTCAGACTTGAATGTGTTCACAAAAAAACAGAATCCATAACTGGAAAGTGAAAAAGCGGAAAATAATTTTAATTCATGATTTCAACCAATCTTTATAAAGAAATTAATAAATTGATAAGAATAAATGGTTCATCATCATCATCATAATAAGGTCGTCAGGTCTAAGACTGGATGGACACGCACCTCTAATAACTAGAAAAAAAAAACTTTTGGGTGTTTCATTCCCAGTAATGCTGGTGGGCGGGCAGTCCCTCCGAACTATGCCGGAAGGTAGGGCGGAAGGCCCTCTTCAGCCTGCTTTCAGCAATCGTGGAAATTATTGGGCGGGCAGTCCCTCCGGACTATGCCGGAAGGAATCGTGGGAATGGGTGGGTGGTGAGTGGTTCGGGTGAGAAAGATGAGACGGACGAAATGAAGACAGAAGAGAGTGAAAGATTATCTGTGGAATAATTACTGCCCCAGCATTTGCCTATGTGATCCAAGGAAACCACAGAAAAACGTGGACGAAGGCAGACGGACGGACCCGGAATCGAACCGGCGTCCTCCCGAATGCTAAGCAACGGTCTAGACCTCTAGGCCATGCCGCTCGGTTCTAATAACTAGAACATCCCACATCCTTAACTATTTGTGAACAGTAATCTAGTCTAGGTCTACTTCTGCTCCTCTTAACTCTTGTTTCTTCTTCTAATATATCACTAACTACCCTTTCATGTCTGAGAAGATGTCCTACTATCCTATCTCGCCTATTTCTTATCGACTTCCACAGTGACCTCCCCTATTACACTTGGTGACATACCCCAAGATTGACCCCATTCGCACATCCTAATACCCCAGAAGATACCATCATTTGAATTTCTGTTTGTTATACTCGAGATATCATAATGTGGCGGTTTCCCGTTGCCTTCCATATTGCAGTGTCGTGCATTAGAGTGCCATGTCAATCCTCATGATCTCCGTCATCCTGAATGCTAAGAGAGCTGCTGCCTTTTTTCAGGGAAATTTTTTTAGTTTTTCTCCATTATGGTTGAACCTAAAGTCCCCGTCTCCCTAAATCATCGAAACGCTCAACTCGATTCATTTCAATTTGTACAAGAACTTCGTCAAAGTTGAAGTCCCTTCGGATCGGAATGTTTAAACTTCCGATTTGTTAAATGAAACATGCTACACATATTTCTATTTTACTGTTTGCTGCATTAATTAATTAAAGTAGGTTAGCCGGCGTATTTTTAGCGTATCGTTTAGGCAATTACGATAAACTATCATCAATATTCATCAAACAGTTGATTTTTATTTAATGTATATCTGTTTAGAATTCATCGCCGCGCACCGGATAGCTTGCTGCCAAATGAAGTACATGATGGCAAATTATAAACCAAGCCCAAGATTATGTGAAAAAATTCTCGTTGAAAAGTTGTACATACACACCTACATAATATTGAGTTTTTCAAGAGTTTTTAGACTTTCATTGAGCAAAGTAGGTAGTTAGTTGACAGAAATTTACTAAACTGTGAAAAGTCTTTGAATATTAAATTCAATAAGAGACAGGTGCTGTTGCTTCATTCAACTTTTTGGTTCATATCGTGAAAGATTCGGATGCTGTTGCGATCATTTTTCTTTAAAATTGAACGTTTTAAAATTTAAATAGGGTAAATGTGAAGAACACCTGCAGCGCAATAAAAGTACCACGAGATTTGGCGGAAATCAATAAAACAACTCATTTACAACGTCGCTCTAGATACTGATTTATTTTCTTTCGCTCAAGCTTCGAAATTCACTATGCAATTAATCTTTCAATTTTAAACTTTAATGCTTCAATTTAAACAGAATTTAAACTGTCTAATCCGAAAATACGCATCTTTAGTATATACTTATATATATATATATATGTATTGTCTTAAAATGTACTTTTCTTTTCATTGAATAATTAATTTTTAGAAAATACTACAAANGAATCTTTTTTAACTTACTAAACAGTAAGTTAGATACTAAGAAAGGTGCAACCATTACTTGAACTTACGATTGGAAACGAATAAAGAAAATATGGCCTCTTTCTGCTGCTTTTTACTTCATTTCTGTGTTCTGTCGGAGCTGTCTGCGACGCGCTGATGAGATCCAAAAAGATCGAAATCGCGATCCCCGTCTGGCAGTTTCGACAGAATACAGACCACTTCAAATTATTTTATTTAATTAATTTTTAACCGGAAAATATTTTTTCCAAATAAGTAAAAGAAAAAAATTGGCCGAATGGGAAAAGATTTCTTTCGCATTTCTAGTACATATCTATCAATACAACTGGCAGTGATAGTGCAGTGTAGTACTAATTACTGTGCGATGTTTGATTGAAGTGATAATGGCGAAAGTACCCAGCAGGAAGTTGGTGTCAATTACCTCATGAATTGTATAGGTGGCTGTAGTTAAAGAATCACTCTGGAAACGTAGCAGTCGGACGATATGTTATTAAACTAGAACGAAGAACAGTATCTTATGCTCACATTAATAAATTATACATCGTTTAGAAAGCGTTTAGTGCAGGAGTCAGGGGCGTAGAGTACAGTTGCATAGAGGTTCAAATGATTTAGCATGAAACATGCGGTTCAGCCATCATAATAATAATAATAATAATGAGTGTGGCCGTAGACGTGACTCTTGTAGTCATTTGTTCATTTATGGTAATTTCAGCCAGTTGAACAGAAATAATGCAAATCAAACCAATCTTGATCTTACAGAACAAAATTGCTATTTGAGGTTAACTTTAATATTCGTATCGAAGCATTTGCGGTCAATGTATTTCCCATACCAGGTGTTTGGAAACAAGCGAAAAGAAACTAATTGACCGCAAATGCTGAATAGCTTACTGTTTACCTTTAGACTCTCTTATGTGATCGCATCAGGTACAGTGCGAACAGTGGTGAAGGTAGTGATTTTAGTAAGATAATTGATGTGAAATTTGCGGTCAGTTACTTATCATATATATGGTCATTTGAACCAGCTGAATAGAAATAGAGCAGGCCCGATTTAAAATGAACTTACAAAGAAAAATTGTCATTAGACGTATGTGTATTTGGATAAGTAAAAGTTTGACCGCAAATGCTAGACACAACGTACTGTTAACCCTTAGAGTCTTAGCTGTTTATTTATGGCCATTTGAACCAGTAATAGAAAATGAAATTGCAAAGCGAAATTGCTATTAGACGTACGTATACATGTGAGTAACAGTTAGACCGCAAATGCTAGACACAACTTACTACTTACATATTTTTAGGGTTTTTGTGCGATCGCAGTCAGTTGCTTATATATGGTCATTTACAAAACAATTATCATTAGACGTATGTGTATTTGGATAAGTAAAAGTTTGACCGCAAATGCTAGACAGAACGTACTGTTAACCTTTAGATTCTCAGCTACTAATTTATAGTCATTTGAATCAATAATAGAAAATGAACTTACAAAGCAAAATTGTCATTAGACGTACGTATATAGGTAAGTAACAGTTTGACCGCAAATGCTAGATACAACTCACTGTTTACATATATATACAAACGAAGATTTGACTGTATACCGATTGCGTGTCAAATGTATATATATTCTCAAATGTTATTTTCAACTGATTATGAGTAAGTAGGAGTTGCTTGCTAATTTACTGTTAGTAGTTGCGGTTAGTTGCTTTTGTATGATATTTTAAACAAATCTAACCGTATCAAATCAAACTAAGTTTAACATTCTACCAAGCAAATTGGATATTTATTGTGCTTGAGCGTAAAGAAGACATTGATTAAAGTTTGACCGCATGTACTAGACTGTAGCATAGTTAACGTTCATCAGAACATTTACATTTAACTGTAGTTGGTACGATTTCAAATCAGTGGTATTCCAATGTGAACCATAGAACGTGGATTATTCTCTTCTAAAGTAATTACAAGTTATTGCAAGTCTAGAGAAAAGACACGAAATGCAGTACAGTAAAATTGTAATCGTCTTTTGTTTCAGGTAAGGCAACATTGCTTATAATGGTGAAATTGAACTTCGACACAGTAGCAGTTTTCAGAATACAGGTAATGTTTTGTATAGTAACTCTTATCATATTTTTGTCAAAGCTTTTCTGCATTACAAAAGAAAAACGACATGTCTAAGTATGTTTTTCAAATTACTTTTGTGTTGAAGTTTACCACGTATTGTTACGCGTAACAGAAAAACATTTGATTACAAATTAAGTACGACCATTGAAAAAAGTAAATTGAGTTTGAAACTCTGTACGTACGCACGTACCCATTGGTATCGCTATCGTTTTGTCAATCGGAATAGGCTTTTGTATCCTACACAAAAATTTGAATAAGCAAAATGAAAGCGCTTATCTATGGAACCTGTCCATTAGTATTATATTATATTATTATAAATCTGTCGGCATATTTTTAAAATAGAAATTACGCTCTATTTCTCAACAACAATGAACAAATTGTTAACTTTTTTTTGTATTTTGTTACGTATCTATAGAAATACAAGAGTCGATAAACATTTTGGAGCTAATATTGACGATTAAAATGTTTAAATAGAAAATGGGAGGGTTGTTTTGGTCTACTATTGATATCCATGATGTTACCGTTTAGAATTAGAACCCTTGATTAAAAAATAATAAATTTGACGTAGGTATTCAAGGTTAAAATAATTAATTGGAAGAAAATGAATGGGACTATATTCGGGTGTACAGTTGGTTGCATATGTATACATCATTAAAATATAGACAGTCAGTAAAGGTGTTAATTGAGTTCGGACGTCTGATCAGAATTTTACATAATACTACACTTTTTTTCTGAATGCTCTAAATCTACAGAATTCGAGAATGTTTTAGAATTTTGTAGAAGGTTCGGGAACTTTCCCGAATGACAACTAATATTTCCTGAGCAATGCGATGATAAAAACGCAATGTAGAGATGCGTAAAGTAAAAAGAATTATTTATTACAGCTATCAGGGTAATGTCGCTCATTCTTGTGGTCGATAAAAGTAATTGTCAATAATTAAACATTATTAATTTTATTTTAAAAATTAATTATCGGGCTTAGTTTTCGTGGTTATCTTTTTATTTGTGATGCTTAGTTCTCTTGAAATTTAAGCTGACGTTTGTGCATTTTTCCTGCCTACGTGATTTATAGGATGTGAATCGGATTTCAACGTTTGTGCAGGATGCACCAATATTCATGTTTACTACCTTAATCCTTAATTTTTGCTTTTGATGTTTGAAGAACTATAGCCAGCCATATTACAAAAAGGATTTTGTGGGAATTAAAAAGAAAACTGTTTCCTGAGAGACACATAAAATGATATTTTCTTGAATAGCCGAAGGCTTTACATAATTCTGAATATTTATGTTAATGCACCTGCTCTATATATGTATTGTATACATATATGTTAAAAAGTGCTTATATTTTTTTATTTCACCGGATGTAGGCTTTCTTATGGAATTTAGGAAAGTACATTCCGTTGTTTCGGCGAGGGCCACTCCGGCGCCGTGCGTCTGGAGAAAGTCCTTGTAACAAAAATTTACACTTTTACTAGAGTGCCATAACTTGAAAATTATATTACGTAGAAGGTGGTTGTATCAGAGTATTTGTGAATCATCACTTTATCATTTGTCATCGAATGATATATGACCGTAACAGTCTTAATATATACTATTTCTTTATCAAAGAAATTTAATCAGGAGGACAAGAATTAGGAGGAGGATATAACGAAAACGGTTAGTTAGTTTCATTTGTTATTTTCCATTCGTCTTCATAAGGTCCTAAGACAGGTTGGACACGCAGCTCCAGTCTTTCCTATTTTGAGCTAATCTTCGCATTTCCTCAAAACTAGAACAACCCACATCCTTAACTATTTGCTAACAGTAATCTAATTTAGATCTACCTCTACTCCTTTTAAGTCCTGTTTCTGCTTCTAATATGTCTCTGACTAGACCTTCATGCCTGAGGAGGTGTCCTACCAACCTATCTCTCCTATTTCTTATTGACTTCCGTATTATTCTCCATTGTAAACCTTAAAAGTTAGTGTGCGCCACAATATACAATTGATTAATTGTGGTTCTTTTGTCGAATTAACTTTTTTGACGTACTTTTAGTCATCACTGCCATTTTTGTTAGATGTTTACAGTTGCTAGGTTAGGTTAGGTCAGGTTGGTGACATTTGGGAAGAGAATTGAAACCAAGAACCCCTGTGAAATATCATCGTCCAGTCCGATTGCTACGGAAAGGACTAGGATAGCGTGTTCGACTCAGTAATAATTCTGGGAAATATAGAAAGAGCGTAACTCAGCAGTCTTTGAAAATACCCTTCAATTGGGAATCGAACGATGATCGAGAGGATTAACCACCCCCTACTACGGAAAAGTGCCCAATTGGATGATCTCAATCGGAAAGATTACTCCAATCGATGGATCATCTAGGAAAAGGATTCCAAGAGCTAGATCATCACGGGCTTCGAATAATTTCTTAACAAAGAATTTCTTATTGCAAATCCCAACGTTCACATTTACTAATAAATTCAATTGAATTTGGCGTAATGTCACTTCACGAAGTAAATGAACATGGAGCTTTGTGGTGTAGCTGAAGCTTTATTATATATTAAATGTGTAAGGATGTTGTTAAGCATAAATTCAATACCTATGTATAAAGCGGTTCCACTTCTAGAACGTCTGCTTCTTTTCATCCATTGATACCTTAAATCTGAAGGGCAATTAAGTCTGAGACTTTTGAATATACTTAAATGGTATACGTATAAAGCGTGATGGTCCTTGACTTGGGGAATTATACTCTGTCTAGGATCGGTCGTCCAGGTACAGGCAGAAGTACTTAAAAAGACTCGAAATTGGCTGTAGTATTATACATAGAACCCATACAACAACGATATAAGCGAGTAAAGCGTCTGCTGTGTTTGTTGAATGCCGATATCCTCGATATACCGCCCCACCATCATCGGTACCAGCAATGTACCAAGCTGTTCTGTTCTGTTGTGTCCGCTGCTGCCTCACGGATCCGACCGTTTGCTTTCAGTCGTACCCGCTCGTTGCATTCCTGGTTTCTGATGCTGTTGTTGATGTTGATGTTGTTGCTGGCTGCCTTTCCAAACGAGAAAAGATCATCTTCGAGCCGGTCGCGTCGTTCATCGGTGCGATGTACTAACCGAAGCGCGTTACCTGGGCCGCCAATGCTGCCGGTACTTTGGTACACCGTAACAATCGTGCAAAAGATATCGACTATGGCAGGATAACTCCTCGGTGTGTCGTGCGTGCCTCAAGTGTTTTTATTCGTAGCATAGTTTTCATACTCGAACGATACCAAGTGGAATGTGTGGGTGTGTTACAACAGTAGTTGTTAAGAAGTATCGCTTCGAAAAGAGAAAGTGTTGTTGTCGTTGTGGATGATCGAATAAAATTGCTTCAGCCACGATGTGAACGAATTGGCTTAAAAACATCAACTGTTATAAGTGTGTACCAATCCAATGAGCGATTGATAATGAAAATTTGCACTGCTGTTCTTTTGCTGGTATGTTTTATAGATACACAAATACCTAACTATTTTACCAATGGTTCGTGTGGAATCTGGCTTAAACTGTTACGGTTATAAGTAGGTATATATTGGCACTATCGTACCAATTTTATTGGCAAATGCCTGTCTGTCTCTGCAGCTACCTGTCTACTTAAATGTTAAATGGTGGCAGCTACAAGAAAATGTTTTGCTGTTTACTCAACATGACATGTGTTTTCTTTCCTTGAACTGATGTCGGAAAGTTTCCGGAATAAAACGTGTTTATCTGCAGATGAAAAAGGAAACTGTTGTGGTTAACTTTTTTCACTTATCTTCACGTCAGAAACTTTTTCTCCTTATTGGCAATCCACATTCGTATAAAAGTATCCAAATATTATGTGTGTGGGTAGTGTACAGTATAATATGTATCTTTTGGTTCAATTTATCTTGCCAATTTTTTGTTTCTGAGAAAGTAATATAAATAAATGTATATATGCTTGTGTCGATACACTAGGTAATACAAAACAATTTTGAATCCCGTGAACGTATTTGGAAGACAGCTTAATAGAATAAGTGAATTTGTTAAATGGTTTGCTGAAAGTGAATTGGAAACAAAGTTTTGTTTGCTTTCATACTTCCGTAATTTGAAAACTTCCTCAACTTGATCTTGTGCCTTTCTTGTACCACAAAATACAATCTTCATGGTTGTATATAATTATCATAACTCGAAAAGTTTGTGGGTAACTCGATTCGGTTTTCTAGAATCCGAGTTAGGTACAAATAAAACTTTTAGCCCTCACTCTCAAAAACTTCAGAATATCAATAAGCTCGAAAGCCGTTAATGTTCACATTACCTAACTAATCTGCAAATAACTGATCTTCTTTTCTAATTTGCCGAATCAAGAGTTTTCCCATTTTATCTAGAGCGAAATGTACAAATTAACGGCATCCGTATCAATAAAGTTCGAACAAAAGGAACGACAACGACAACACTTACTTCGTTTGTGTTGTCTTTTCTTACATTAACCTCCTGTTCCTAAGCCGCGTATTAAAGCCTGCAAAATTGTATGCAATATTTATTTTAATTGGAATTTTTAAAAAGAAATCTTCACATCTGGGTCTAGAAGTCCATAAACTATACGTGGGTGTGCCCGGAAACGTTGCTGTTATTCCTAATTCGCACTTTAACCAGTGCCTATTAGCTAATGTGCAGATTATCTAGGTAATTTGCAGATTTAAGGAATGAAACAATTTTCTCCGCTATAATGGATCATCCTGGTTAATTTGCACATTATCTAGATAATCTGCAGTTTAACTGTTTTCTGCAGTTGGTGATAACAACGCCATTAAACCACTTATTATAACCAAGTAAACCTGTAGTATACAAAATAATTAACTGTTTTTATTGAAACCAAAGAAAAGCGCAAGAACTCAAAATGAAATTAGCAATTGTGTGATACTTTTATCGGTTATAAGTTATAAATTATTACCAAATACCTGACATATATGTATTGGCTTTTTGCCATTCTTTAATTATCTAATCATTTTTTAACAATATTGTTTTTGTAATTACCTACCTTTGTGGTTGTTGTTCAATAGGTATTTTGTGATGAATGAAAACTATGATTCCAGAAACGAGCTTATTGTTTAGTAATACCTAATTACTGGTGGATTAGAATCTGTAATTAAGCATGGGAGCTAAACAATTACTAAATGCTCGTTTACATCACGTAAGGTACTTGCCACACATGTAAACGTTGTGGGCATATTACCTATAAGCACTCAATGCGTTAGTGAAAATTGCTTTAATGAAATTATTATGAAACTTTCTCTTCTGTGTTACTAAAAAGCAACATTTGACAAGGTGTTTTATGTAGGACCGAGGCTGTAGACATGTACATTTTGTCTGTTTTAATTTGAGTAATGATACATAAACTGGTGTAAACATCAAGAGAAAACATGCATATTATTTCCAACAAACCAATTTACATCAGATGATTGTGTTTGTTTATGTTTTATTATATAACTAACGTTAAAGTGTACTTACAATTAGACGAGATTACGAAAGTTAATGTTTAAATAACGGGGATATACATTAGTACGAGAAACCAAAAACTTTAGTGAAATACAAGTAGTCTGTTTATCACGGATTGCGATTTTAATCTTATTCGATCTTATCAGCGCACCATAGGCAGTCTCGATAGATCTCGATAAATTATTCAGTGAGTATTCAGTAATAGTATATATACCCACCAGGTGGCGATATATTGCTCTATTTGCATATTACGTAAACTCGCTATCTAGGAGCTTCTTAGTTAGTAATTTGTCGGTACTCTATGGTGCGCTGATGAGAGCTATTTAGATCGAAATAGTAGTTAACTTAATGTTGTTATTGTGCCTATCGAGTATATAAGTTACGCCGTCGACTTCAGTAGCAGTAAATATCCACCAGATGTCGATACGTTGCCTTTATTTGGTTATTAAATAAATGTATTAGTAAAAATTTCACAGTCATTTTTCGTATTTGAACAATTAAAAGAATATTTGTTCATTTTTTTTACAGTATGATCATGTAGGATCAGGTTTACATAAGGGATTTTCTAAGGACCTCTGCAAAACTGTTCAAATAAATCTTTTTAGTAATATCGCGAAGGCCTAGTGTGGCCAGGTTACGAGAGCCCTTCAGCACCTTTGTTTAAGAGTAGTGCCCGTCCCTTGTCTTAAGTTTTTCTCTTTCTGTTCTATTCTCTTATACATACATTTGTATATTTTTATTTTCATATTTTTCCTCACTATATCCCCTCGTTAATTCCTCATTCATATCCTACTCCAACAATGTGCTGCCAACTCTGTCTTGAGAGGCAGAAAATACTAAATTCAAGGAAAAACCGCTAAAACATCGGAAAATTTTGAAGATACCTGAATGGCGTAGAAAATATCTGAAATCGTTTAAATGTTTGAGGAACATATTGCTATTAGCATAGTATTTTGTATCTATGCATACATCTTCTAAGTTTGCCGACTCTGGTAGGGGGCCATACGCATTTTGTGTCCATGGGCAAATACAATCCCATGATATGTAAGATTTTATTAAACGACAGGCGAATTATTTGTAATACGGTAGTACTCATTTGACTTCCAGAGGACTCTATGGAAGTCAATAAAAAATAGGCGAGATAGGTTGGTAGGACATCTTCTCGGGCATGAAGGTCTAGTCAGAGACATATTAGAGGCAGAAACAGGAGTTAGGAGGGGTAAAGGTAGACCTAGATGGGATTACTGTTCGCAAATGCGAAGTTTAGCTCAGGATAGGAAAGAGTGNAAAGAGGACTCTATGGAAGTCAATAAAAAATAGGCGAGATAGGTTGGTAGGACATCTTCTCGGGCATGAAGGTCTAATCAGAGATATATTAGAGGCAGAAACAGGAGTTAGGAGGGGTAAAGGTAGACCTAGATGGGATTACTGTTCGCAAATGCGAAGTTTAGCTCAGGATAGGAAAGAGTGGAGGTACATGTCCAACCAGTCTTAGGACTGACGACCTTACGATGATGATGATGATGAGTACTCATTTGTGGTCATCATTATAAGACACTAAAAATTCAAAGGATCCAGTTCCCTGCAAGTGAAAGAGATTTTCTTTATAACTATTTCTGTCGTGTATTTGTCTAAAATAGGATTTGCAGTCTGGCGCTTGATTTTTTTTATTTCACCATCGAATCACTTTTCGTAAAATTTGTTTTCACTTTGTTTAGTATTGTTTTCGGTATTATTCTAATTATTTTTGTTGTTGTTGGCGACAATTCTATTTCGCATTGTCGTTTTATGTAATGTTTCAGTTATTGCTATCATTTGTATTATTTGGTAGATTTCACAGCTTGTTGAATTCCGAATGACTACGCGAATAATTATATTGATGGTTGTTGTTAATTCATGCCAGAACGATTGTTTCATTGAATATAACGCATTCCTGTGGCGCGAAACGAGGACGATTATTGTTTATGTTTTTGACATAATTGGTTTTGTCGTCCTTCAAGTCTTTAAATGGACTGTTTGTTACATAATAAATTATTATATATTATTTAAATGAACCGAGCAAGTCGTTATCACGTGACATGCACTACGTTTTCAGGACTATTCGTAACTAACGTGATGAGCGTGACAAATAAATACTACACGTCCTATGTACATTGGCTTGGTTTTTTGATTTATTTAAATTGTTAACATTGGTATTGCCTTAAAACAACGACAAGAGTTGAACATTATAGCACCAAAAATTGTAGGCTGCTTTAATCTGTAAAGGTATTTTTATCCACTATAGAAATTAACTCAATTAAATGAAGAAAAATTGCTGCTTCTCTTACACCCTCGCCGGGGATCGAACCCCGGAACTTTTGGCTACTAAGCAACGACAGATGACAGGAGCAACAACGATTTGTGAATAAAAATTAAATGAATTTTCACATTAATAAATATTAAATAGGTATTCAAAACTATTAAAAGCTTCTTAATGTGTTTTGTATGGTAAGTATATATTAACTTAGTATTCCCCGTCCAAGAAATTTTCAGTTTAGTCTTTTAACCCCCATATCTTTGAAACCAACGCCTGTAGTCTAACCTAACCTAACATTTACTGACTGTGTACGGAGTCCTTTGGGGCGATAATCTTTTAAACCCCATATCATTGAAATTAACTCCTGTACCTCAAAACCGATATCGTTTTCATGAACGGGAGGTTCCAAAAATATGATACTTTTTGATGATCTTTATCAATTTCATTTGTTTCTGTACGTTCTTCATGCACGGTGTATGGAAAGCTATTTTAATGATAACTAGTTTTTTCTGAGCAAAGCGAGAGGAATCCGACTTGTTGCAAATAAAAACAATTTGGATTTGCAATGCCTGTGTAAAGCTAATGTAGAAAACTAAATTCGATATTTTTGTTCTGTATGAGCGCAGTATAACATTATCTTTACGTATTTATTACACTCATTTTATGTGTTACTTATACCTATTGCTT